TTTTTACAGTAAGAACAATAAGGATATGGAATTCTCTGCCTGAAGAGGTGGTTTTGTCAGAGTCCATACAGATGTTTTAACTGAAATTGGATAAATACTTACAAAAACATAACATACAGGGATATAATTTCTAATTAGTGGGTAATAGCTGATTGATCCAAGGAGACATCTGACTGCTATTTTGGGGTCAAGAAGGAATTTTTTCCTAGTTTGTGGCAAAATTGGAAGTGCTTCAGACCAGGTTTTTTGCCTTCTTTTGGATCAACAGCAACAACATTTCTGAGGAAGGCTGAACTTGATGGACGCAAGTCTCTTTCAGCTATGTAACTATGTAACTATGTAAAATGCCTTATCTCGATCAATTTTGTAGCCTCGCCTCTGGACCCCTCCAGTGCCATGATATCCTTCTTTAGAACAGGTGCCCAAAATTGCACAGCATATTCAAGGTGTGGTCTTACCAGCGATTTATAAAGAGGCAAAATTATATTTTCATCCCGAGAATTTATGCCCCTATTAATACATGACAAAATCTTACTGGCCTTAGCAACTGCAGATTGACATTGCATATTGCTGCCTAATTTGTTGTCTATAACAATGCCCAAATCCTTCTCGTGTGTGGTTATCCCTAATTCACTACCATTTAGTGTGTAAGTTGCTTGTGCATTCTTAACCCCGAAGTGCATAACTTTGCATTTTTCTATGTTAAATTTCATCTGCCATTTTAGTGCCCAGTCCCCCAATCTATCCAAATCTCTCTGCAGCAAAGCAATATCCTGCTCACATTTTATTACTTTACAAAGTTTTGTGTCATCTGCAAACACTGATACATGGCTTTCAATGCCTATTTCAAGATCATTTATAAATATGTTAAATAGAAGTGGTCCCAAAACAGAACCTGAGGGACACCACTTACCACTTTTGTCCAGCCTGAAAATTTACCATTAATGACAACTCGTTGTACTCTGTCCTTAAGCCAATGTTCTACCCAAGAACAGGAATATTCATCTAGACCAATTTCTTTTAGTTTGAAGACTAACCTATTGTGAGGAACCGTATCAAATGCCTTGGCAAAGTCCAAGTAGATCACATCCACTGCAACACCCTGATCTATACTTCTACTTACTTCTTCGTAGAATGCAATTAGGTTAGTTTGACATGACCTATGTTTCATAAAACCATGCTGATTATTGCTAATAACAAAGTTCTTCCCAATGAATTCCTGAATATTATCCCTTAATAGCCCTTCAAATATTTTCCCAGTTACTGAAGTTAAGCTCACAGGTCTATAATTTCCAGGCAAGGATTTTGAACCCTTTTTAAATATAGGAACAACATCTGCCTTCCTCCAATCCTCCGGTACAACACCTGAAACAAAAGAATCTTGAAAAATTAAATACAGAGGTTCACTTATTTCCCCACTTAGCTCCTTAAGTACTCGTGGGTGAATACAGTCAGGCCCCGGAGCTTTATTTACATTAATTTTCATTAATAGCTGTAGCACCTTGTCTCGAGTTATCCAGTCACAAGTTATTTGCAAGTTTTTTGCAGCAAACATTTGCATATCTCTTGCCATAGGATCCTCATTAATATATACTGAAGAAAAATAGTTATTTAAAATTTCTGCTTTTTCCTGGTCTTCATTAGCTAATAAACCCAACTCTGTTTCAAGTGTACCTACACTTTCATTTTTTGTTTTTTTTAGAATTGATGTACTTGAAAACATTTTTGGGGTTGGTTTTGCATTCTTTAGCAATCAATTTCGCATTTTCTAGTTTAGCCACTTTAATTGCCTTTTTGCAAGTGTTATTGGCTTCCTTATATCTTAAATAGGATGCCTTTGATTTGTCTGATTTAAATGCTTTAAATGCCCTTTTCTTATTTTTAATCTCTTGTTTTACTTCTCTACTAAGCCACATTGGTTTTAATTTGTTTCTTTTATATTTATTACCCAATGGTACATACTGAGAAATGTACCTTTCTAATATATGTTTGAATAGTTTCCATTTATCCTCAGTGTTTTTATCACTAAGGAGTTTATGCCAGTCGATATGTTGTAGAGCTGCCCTAATCTTATTGTTATCGTGGGCAACGTGGTATCATGTCAACCGGATTATGGAGTTGCGAGATAAATTTTAGTTACTTGTCGAGTCATCAGTACCCATACATCGACAGACTAGGGGTTTTGGCTGGCCTATTAGCGGTGTGTTGTCGCCATCCTAGTGTCCTGGGGTTCAGCAGCGGGGGTGCATGGGATCTTTGCGTATTCCCCTAATGTGTGTCTGAGCAAATCATGTAAAATTCAAACCTTAGAACTTTAAACCATTAAAACCATTAAAACATCAGAGCATTAGCTACTTTAGTCCTTGACCCAGTTTCCTCCGGTGTGAGCAGGGTCCATGTCTTGCGCCTTCCCCCCCTACCAATAGTCCCCCCACCCCAAATGCAGCCTAGACCTTTTAAGTTCGGGAGGCTTATATCACCGTCTTTAACCCCTATCTTTACGCCCTTTGCTCAGTGCATGCGGTGTAGTTAGGGTATAGTGTATCACTTATCTGGGTTCTTGGCGGTAGTTGCAGCCGTCTGGTATCCAGTTGTTTCCTGGGCATGTAGGGTTGTCTGCAGTCTCTCAAGGGGGGGTGGTTGTATCGGGGGGGGGGCTCACATCTGACTCTACTCCTCGGGTTCTGCTGGGTCCAGGCGTCTGCGGCATTGGGACGTCTTGCCAGCTCCTCCCTTCCTGTTGTCGTGGCGTGTGGGGTCCAGGTCTCTGCTCCAAAGGTCCAAGGATCCAATCCGCTATTTCAGTGGGTGGTAGGCCCATGTGACGTAAAAAACCTGAGCCCTCTTCCGGCCAGCGCAGGGGCACCCACTCATTTTGGTGTCTTGCAAGCAGGGCAAAGGGGAACCCCCATTTGTAGGGGATGTTCCTCTCTCTGAGTAGTGATGTGATGGGGCGTAGGGCCCTGCGGGCATCGAGTGTGAGCGATGATAGGTCTTGGAATAAGGCCACGTCCGCACCGCGGAACCTCCATAGCGGTCTGGAGCGTGCTTTGAGCATTATTTTTTCCTTGTGCTTGTAGTTGTGCAGGCAGCATATGACATCTCGTGGTGTGTTGTCTGCCGGCCTGGGTCTGTTAGCTCTGTGTGCGCGGTCAAATGTTATGCTATCTGGCATGTCAGCTCCCAGGATCTCCCAAAAGAGGGCTTTCAACGTGGCTTCCACATCTTCCTCAGTGGATGGCTCGGGTAGTCCACGGATGTTAGAGCGGCGGCTCCTATTATCTAGGTCCTCTGTCTGGCGTCGGAGGGCCAGTAGCATGTGCCCCTGTCTTGTGGTCGCAGTGGTGTTGGTCCCCGCTCTCTCCGTCGCCTCTCTCATCGTTTCCTCCAGGTTTTGGAGTCTGCCGTCCTGTGCTGTGATCTCTGACCGCAGGGCCGCCACCTCAAAACGGATTGCAGCATGGAGGTCGTCTGATAGGACCTGGAAGTCACTTTTAGTGACCATCTGGGACGCCAGCGCCCTGATATCTGCCCTGATAACCGCGAGCGTGGGAGTTTCGGGCTCAAGGGGCCGTGCGCAGGGTGGGGAGTCGGTCCGTTCTGGGCCTACTTGCTCGTGCGGCGCGGCTGCTGGGGTTTGCAGGTAGCTGTCCATGGGGCCCACCTGGGAATTGGTGGGGACGCTCCTGGGTGTCTGGGGGCCCTCTGGGCGTTTTGTGCGGCCCATATTTCGCCCTCGGTGGTGTCTGAGCGTGCTAGTGATTGCTGCTTAAGACGGAGCTCACAAGTTAGGCTTCCATGTTTCTCGGTGGTCAGGCCACGTCCCCAACTGTAGAACAATTTAGTACCATTCCAGGGACAAGTTCTGAGTGTTTGCTGTCACTGGTTACTGGAAGAGTTTACGTAGAAATAGGAGAAGCAGCTAAAAGAGCACTTACATTTGGTTGTAGTAGGTACATTTTGAAGAGAAGTTACATGTGTTTGTTATGTAAAGTTGAAGGTGAGCTGATGTCTGATAGACAATGATACAATGCTCTATATTCTCTTGTTAATCCGGTCTCATTGGTATGCACCAACTGAAGCTTCATTGCTTTGTGAGACTTGGTAACTTTTTTTCCATATATTGAAAGATATCAGGTAGGGATAATAGGATGTGTTAAGGAGTGCAAGTCCTTTAGTTGTGCTCCAAACACAGCATTTCCATGTTCCTGACTGATTGCAGGTAATTGGACAAGTATTTTGTTTTATAAATAATGATAATAATAAAAGTGTCTAGGGCCCCATTAACTTTAACACCAAAATATTTGCTGCATATGAGTAGACTAATGTACTAAAGGTCAGGGACGCCATCAGAAATTTTGGGGCCCCTAACAAAGCACAAGGTCTGGGGCACCCCTCTGTTCCCCCCGGGCCCGCCCATGCCCTACCTAGTCTGCTGACAATGATGCGGGACTGAATGTAGTGTGTATAGTGGAGGTGAATTAGAATGTGTGTAATGTATGTAGTGTTTGTGTGTATTAGATACTGTTTGTGCAGTGAATGCAGAGTGTGTTTGTGTAGCGGATGCAGTGTGTATAGTGAACGCTGAGTGTGTTTGAGTAGTGGATGTAGTGTGTGTACAGTGATGTAGTGTGTGTTTGTGTAGTGGATGTAGTGTTTGTGTGTACTAGATGCTGTGTTTAGTGGATGCAGTGTCTGTAGTGGATGTAGGGTATGTATTAGACGCAGTGTCTCTGTATAGTGAATGCAGAGTGTTTCAATGTGTGGTGGATGTAGTGTGTGTACTGTGAATACAGGAGGTTTGTGTAGTGGATGCTGTGTGTATAGTTAATGCAGAGTGTGTGTCAGTGTAGAGAATTCAGAGTGTGTCTCAGTATAGTAAATGCAGAGTGTGTGTCAGTATAGTAAATGCAGAGTGTGTGCATAGTGTAGTGAATGCAGAGTGTGTGTTAGTGTTTAATGAATGCAGTGTGTGTTAGTGTAGTGAATGCAGAGTGTGTGTTAGTGTGTAGTGAATGCAGAGTGTGTGCCAGTGTAATGAATGTAGTTTGTGTGTTAGTGCAGTGAATGCAGAGTGTGTGTTAGTGTGTAGTGAATGCAGAGTGTGTGTTGTATTAGTGTATGCAGAGTGTGTGTCAGGTTAGTGTATGCAGAGTGTCTCGTATTAGTGTATACAGTGTGTGTTGTATTAGTGTATGCAGTGTGTGTTGTATTAGTGTATGCAGTGTGTGTCAGTGTAATGAATGCAGTGTGTGTCAGTGTAGTGTATGCAGTGTGTGTGTCAGTGTAGTGTATGCAGAGTGTGTGTCAGTGTACTGTATGCAGTGTGTGTGTTGTACTAGTGTATGCAGTGTGTGTGTCAGTGTAGTGTATGCAGAGTGTGTGTGTCAGTGTAGTGTATGCAGTGTGTGTGTCAGTGGAGTGGATGCAGTGTGTGTGTCAGTGGAGTGGATGCAGTGTGTGTGTTGTGTTAGTGGATGCAGTGTGTGTGTCAGTGGAGTGGATGCAGTGTGTGTGTCAGGGGAGTGGATGCAGTGTGTGTGTCAGTGGAGTGGATGCAGAGTGCGTGTCAGTGTAGTGTATGCAGTGTGTGTCAGTGTAGTGTAACCAGAGTGTGTGTCAGTGGAGTGGATGCAGTGTGTGTGTTGTGTTAGTGGATGCAGTGTGTGTGTCAGTGGAGTGGATGCAGTGTGTGTGTTGTGTTAGTGGATGCAGTGTGTGTGTCAGTGGAGTGGATGCAGAGTGTGTCAGTGTAGTATATGCAGTGTGTGTGTGTTGTGTTAGTGTATGTAGTGTGTGTCAGTGTAGTGTATGCAGAGTGTGTGTCAGTGTAGTGGATGCAGTGTGTGTCAGTGTAGTGGATGCAGAGTGTGTGTCAGTGTAGTGGATGCAGTGTGTGTATCAGTGTAGTGGATGCAGAGTGTGTGTCAGTGGAGTGTATGCAGTGTGTGTGTCAGTGGAGTGTATGCAGTGTGGAGGGGTGGGGAAAGGGGCATTTTTCAAATTAATTTTATAATATATATTTTATAATATTAAATTAAATGTTTCTCCCCCCTCCCTGCTTACCTGTGTCCAGGGACGGGGGAGATTCCATCCCTGGTGGTCCGGTGGCATGGGGGCCCCCCCGGCTCACTGTTACCGCACAGGGGGGCCCAACATACAGCTTCTTCACATTCAGTTCATTGCCTCCAATAACTCTCGCGAGACCCATATGTGTGCAGAGAGGGAAAGTGGGGCCCCGGACTGCCAGAGCAGTCCGGGGCCCCCAGGACCGCTGGGCCCGTGACAACCATCATGGTTGTCACCCCCTGATGGTGGCCCTGCTAAAGGTTCTATTCACTAAAACATGAACTGAGGTGATTTGGTAAGAATAGTGCAATATCTAGGTTATAGTGGCTGACAGTTTTGCTATATTGTCCCAGGTGTTACAATTCAATGGCTAAAGTGAGAATCGTCAACAGTCAAACTGAATATCAAATTTAAAGGACCACTATAGGCAGCCTGACCACTTCAGCTCAATGTAGTTGTCTGGGTGCCAGGTCCCTCAAGTTTTAACCCTGCAGCTGAAAACATAGCAGTTTCATAGTAACTGAGGGTTTATCCAGCCCCTAAGTAAAGGGAAAGGCTTATTGTACTGTATGTTGGAGTTTCATGCATTGTTATTATTGGTTTGTAGGTTTGTGTCCCTGTCTCCAACAAGCCTTATGTGGGCTTACCTCTTGCATGGGGACTGTCATGAAAGGCCAGTGTGGTACCATTAACATAGAGCCTTGCCCCGTGTTTGTAGGGACCTGCTATACAAGCTATATCACTAGGTCTTATAAGAGCTTTACAGCTATACTCCCTTGGAAGAGAGGCCTTCCCACTGGGAGCTGGATCCAGGAGTTTTGTCCAGGGTGGGAAGGGACGGCGAGACCCCAGGCCAAGCTACGGCAGCTAGGGGGCTACAGTGCTGATGGTGTCCGGTGGAGTGCTTGGAGTCCTCGGTGAGCACTAGGAGCATCAATTGACAGAGGCACCCGGTCGGGGTGGCAGGCAGTCCGTCACATTTGGTGGAAGAGGTGGGATGGCTTCCTAGTGCGAGGAGCAGCATCCTGAAGACACCAGTTTTGAATTATAAATGGAGGGATAGAGCTAGCTACCATGCGGCGTTCGCATATGAGGAGGAGTTTCACTGGAGGTTGCAGGACTTCTTGGCCCTACAGGATGGGCTTGTATCAGAGGAGGCCAGTAGTGGACTACAGAGAGGCCGCCAGAAAACAGCTTTGGACCGAAGCCTTGGCGGGTGTACAGCGTTGGTGAGGTGAGAGTGTCCCCAGCGAGGAGCAGCGGCTACAGGTACGAGTGGCACTGCGGATGCCTCCTGGGAAAGCAGCCCCTGGATGAGTGGGTGACGAAGCTCAAGAGACTAGTATGGAAGGAACTGTGGATCGACGACACATACCAGGCGCAATGGTGGTACGCAATTCAGCGCATTTCCTTGATGGCTGAGCACTACAGGCCCAAGGTATTACAATGGCCCTGGCCTGTTATGGGAGGCATTTGCCAAACTGGAGTTCGGGAGCACTACAGAATCACTCTTTTGGGTCATACATACCATAAGGAGGCTTTACTGGATCTCCCTAGAGCTGGAGACCTAGAGTCAGACCTGATCCATCTGGCCAACATGGAATGGGATCTGGAGCAGAAGTACTAACACCTACGCAGCTCAAGTCGGCCCCAATATACCCTGCAGGCAGAGCAGGAGAGCTAGGTGGCAGATCCAGAACTACAGCCCTACAGCTGGAGAGACTTCATAGACTGGTCCTGGGAAGACCCCCAGATGGCAGGTAGAGATGGGACTTAGGTCTCTCCACCGACCCTACAGGGATGCTGGGCAGCTGGCCCAGATCCCCAGCTACAGCTGGAGTTACTGGGAGTGGGGACAGTCTGTCCTACTCCCCAGCGGCAGCTTACCTTGCAGGGAGAGGAGGAAACCGGTCTCTCTCCCCAGCGGCAGTGTGCAGTACAGGGAGCAGAAGGTGTCATCCTTCCTCCCCAGCGGCAGAGCAAGTTACCAGGAGTGGGGACAGTCAGCCCTACTCCCCAGCAGCAGCTTACCTAACAGAAAGAGGTGACTCTCTCTTCCCAGCGGCAGGGTGTATTACAGGGAGTGGAGACAGTTGGTCTCACTACCCAGTGGCAGTGTGCATTGCAGAGAGAGGAGACAACCGGTCTCTCTCCAACAACCGCCGGAGATACCGGAAGAGGAGACAACTGGTCCGTCTCCCGAACTACAGGGAGACAGCAACCCTGACCCCAATGGTGCAGATGGGACCGCAGTCTCTGTACCAAACCTACAGGAATGCTGAACGGCCGTTCCAGATCCCAAACCGACCCCGCAGGAATACCAGGGGGAGGAGGTGGACGATCCCTCCTCTCCGCAGCAGGTCCTCAACCGGTCCCAGGGGGTAGTATCCGCTGACCCCATCCCAGCAGAAAAGCTGGCATCGGCCTCTGCCCTACCTGCTCCCTTGTTACAGGGCAGGACTACGTACCCATCTTCCCAACAGAAGCCCTGGCACCAGGGCAGAGCGCAGTTGGCCTCTGCCCTCCCCTTGTCCTCAGTCCAAGACCGGTCGACCCCCTGGCTTACCCAGCTGCTGGCCTCTGCCCACCAAGCACTAACAACTTTATGCCTCGGAGTACAAGGGAGACAAGGAGTACCAGATGCCCACTTGACCACTGGGGACATACAGGACAGAGATGGGCTACAGAAGACACCAGGTCCAGTATACTTATAGGTGGGCTACTCGACTAACTCAGGTACCGACCGACAGGATTTTTATTATTTTTTTATTATTTTTGTTTTATTACAAATAAATATTTTATCCTGATACTCCTGGCTCCTGGCTTCTGACTCCTGCTTCATTATAGAAGATTATTAAGACCAAAGGAGAACCTGCCTGATGAGTAAAGAAAATGCGTATGTCCCATTGAAGTGACATAAAAGCCATATAAGTTCCGAGCCTACTTTAAACGGCTCATTAAAGTGTGAGTGTTTTTAACTCAGAACTTCCATTTTTATTGTGTACAATATACAGATTACACTATGTTTTGTTTTATGTTTATATTCTTTGTATAGGCAATCCAATATTCAATACATTAATTGTATATAAGGAGGAGATACCTACTATTTATACGTCAGGTAAACCACCTCCTTGGTGTGTGTGCACGCTTTTACCTTTTTTGTGTTTTACCGACCGACAGGAGGTCAGGTACCTGGTTAGTCTCCCCTTGGGAGGAAAGATATGTGATGAACTGGACCTCGTCACAAGTTCTTGGAGGGGCATACTTACCAGTCTCTTGCCCACAGACTATGGACCCTGTAAACTGTGATATAAAAGTCTCTGTTTGTCTATTTGATTATATGGTTCGGTAACTGAACAGCCGCATGAACCAGAGACCACCCTGCTGGTTAAAGGGATACTGTAGTCACTATAAGCATTTCATCTCTTTGAATTGGTTATAGTGCCTGGAGTACCCTGGCACTGTCCCTCCATTCAGTGTTGCACCATGTTTGTGCAGTATGCCACAAAATAAGAGTCCCTGGCCACCCACAGTCCGGCCCCTTCAGTATGCGTAGCTAAGGCAGAGATTACACACTTCCTTGTTGTCATACCCACTC